TACATTTACCTGCGTTGATGTTCGAGATATTTTCGTAGAAAATATGTACTTCTCCGACAAGAATCGAACCTGAAACCTGAATGGAACCATCATTTGATCTTACGTGCTGTTAACCATTCAACCATAAATATATATTCTATAATGTATAGCATCATTAAATTATTTACATGCGGACTATTGTCCTTCATCACTTGTTTTATTCTTGTTTTGTTGTTGTTATCGCAAGGTTTCGGCCGTTTCATCCCCCGGCCTTCATCAGGTGTTGGTCGATTCGTGTAACCTCCAAGGAATTTCAAAGTAAACCTTTTATTTAGTCCACGGAGGTAAATTGTTCTCATTCCGCTGTCCATGGATAACTCTCTTAGTTCTTATTTAGTACGTCTCACTTATTACTCACCAATTTCAACTGAGTCCAAATATATACTACCCGAATCGTGGGTTGAACTGGTAATGAGTATGCCACCATATTCACAAATCAACGCTTTAATTCACTAAGTGGATGACTTGAAGCCTTAAACTTAACATGCCTGTTGATGAAGGCTGCTGCTTCTAGTCAGGATTGACTGCAATCTCGGAGGCTTCTTTTTCACTTGCTTTCTCTTTTCATTAGTTAGTTTGGTTATTTTTGTTCTATAGATTATTTAATGCCGAAATCTAAATTCAACTTCAACTACATATATTTACATAATGTTATAGTTTCAGTGCAGACATATATTTTGTAGATATATATTGTGTAGTTGATCTGTTGTAGGTGTTATTTATTTTGGTAGTTGGTAATATTTTTTATAAAAATGTATTGCTGGAATTTCTACTATAGAAATGTATTTTTATATCTTCCTAGTGTTTTAATTTTTGTTTGGAGGTACAATTTTTGTCTATACCTGAGACCTTAACAGGTCCTAGCACCTCACGTCAGGAACAACAGTAATAAAGAGGTGATTTCCCGGTTCCTCAAAACCTTCTGATTTATCAGAGGCCACTATTTACATTGCTCGGACTATCATCCTCATCTCTGTTGCCATATTTATCACAACGTTTCGGCCGTTGTACGCTCCGACCTTCTTCAGGTGGTTGGAATGTCGAACTGAACCCTTTTATTTCACATGCTGGGGTAGACTGTTCTAGTTCCACGTGCCATGTCGAATAGATGTCAGTTGTCAGCTATCTCCTTTTAATTCCTCTCTAAGTTCTCCACCGCCATAACCAGGTATTGAACTCGCACGCTTTAGGTCCTGTCACTGGATCTAACCAACGCCTTTATCCACTGTGCCATGGTGTTCTTGAGGCTTTGTTGCCGGACGCAGTTAATCGTGATACACCAGACTATACTTTTCGTTCTTTATTTATTAATGACTCCTAAATCTTATTTATTTCTACAAGAAAGACTCTTGTGCCTTCAGGACGTAGGCGATTATGGGCCTCCACCTCTTTCTGTTTCTTGTAGCTTTTAAGTTTTGTCTTTTTGTTATTTGAGCCTGACGTGGAATATGCATACACCCGGGTCCCCTTCACAGTAATATGATTGGCTGGTGTCAGCCATAAATACAGACTGATGTGGAGGTACAAAAAAGGACGCCTATTGACGGCGCCTATTGTCTTCGCCTATTGCTTATCACTACGACGAGGACCAGTCCATTACGGTCACCTGCTAGATTGTCCTACTTGGTTACAGTAGTTCAAAACCACTTTGCTACTTCGAACAATCCCTTTCCGGGACATATCAGAGCGAAACTCTGCTCTGCCATCCATTTGATCAAGCCCATCAAATAAGTTATGCGTTTCTTTCTTCTGTCCCTCTTTCCATCAATATGCCTCGTTTGTACAACCTTCTTCAAGTCCACCTTCCTCATAATGTGCTCAGAAATATCAACTGCCTCTTCGTGTTGTTAAATATGAGTTTCTTTTTTGTTTCTATTCTCGACAAAACTTCGTTGTAAACTCATGAGTTCTACGACAATAAAATATGCGTAGAAATTCCCTTATCATATCGTTAAACATTTGAGCTTAAAAACTTTAACAAAATATTGCAATTACATTAAGTATCATACATATGAATGTTTGTCTGGTAGAAATGAAAATATTTGAATGGATAACTTTTTCCATTTCACTGAAAAAAAACATTAAACACTTCTTTCTCTTTCTTTCTTTCTTTTTTTCATTCTCTTATTCTTTCATTCTCTTATTCTTTCATTCTTATTCTTTCATTCTCTTATTCTTTCATTCTCTTATTCTTTCATTCCCTTATTCTTTCTCTCTTTCTTTCTCTCTCTTTCTTTCTCTCTCTTTCTTTCTCTCTCTTTCTTTCTCTCTCTTTCTTTCTCTCTCTTTCTTTCTCTCTCTTTCTTTCTCTTTCTTTCTCTTTCTTTTCTTTCTCTCTTTCTTTCTTTCTCTCTTTCTTTCTCTCTTTCTTTCTTTCTCTCTTTCTTTCTTTCTCTCTTTCTTTCTTTCTCTTTCTCTCTTTCTCTTTCTCTCTTTCTCTTTCTTTTTCTCTCTTTCTCTCTCTTTTTTTCTTTCTCTTTTTTCTCTCTCTTTCTTTCTCTTTTTTCTCTCTCTTTCTTTCTTTCTCTTTTTCTCTCTCTCTCTCTTTCTCTCTCTTTTTTCTCTCTCTTTCTTTCTCTCTCGTTCTTTCTTTTTTCTTTCTCTTTTTTCTTTCTCTTTTTTCTTTCTCTTTCTTTCTCTTTTTCTCTTTCTTTCTCTCTCTCTTTCTCTCTCTCGTTCTCTTTCTCTCTCTCGTTCTCTTTCTCTTTCTTTCTCTCTCTCTTTCTCTCTCTCGTTCTCTTTCTCTCTCTCGTTCTCTTTTTCTTTCTTTCTCTCTTTTTTCTTTCTTTCTCTCTTTTTTTTTCTTTCTCTCTTTTTTCTTTCTTTCTCTCTTTCTTTCTCTCTCTCTCTTTCTTTCTCTTTTTCTTCTCTTTATTTTTCTTTCTTTCTTCTCTTTCTTTTCTTTTGCTTTCCTTACTTTTACTTTCTTTTCTTCTCTTTTTCTTCTCTTTCTCAATGAAATCAAGTAGTTTCTTTTCCTCATCTTTACATGCCATCAAAATCCATTATTTATGAGGTATTGGCCGGAGAGGTTAAAGACTTATCTTCCCTTATTTCTTTCTTCTTCACCAAGCCCGTCTTACGAACATTTCTCTTAATAATTTAAAAATAATTCAGCAGACGATGTTATTTTATTTTACTTACGGTAATTTAAATATGTAAAAGCAATCAAAATGTCCGATATTTTTTAAACAGCCAACTCACTAATGATCGCATAATTTGGAAAATAGAAATATTTGAACCATCGTAGTAATCGGACTTATCGGTTATTTATTTATTTTAAATTACTTTTTCTAATCATTTCACCCCAAGTAAAACAACAACGCCACTAAGATGGAAGTGGTTACTGAATGTGAAAGAATATGAGAAAAAAAAATTTATTAAGAGGAGGGAGAACAAATGAACAGTAATTAAGAAGACAAGATAACGATTAACATTGTTTCAATTACAACGAAATAACTAATTTATTATTTCTAACGTTTTTTTACAAACTAATTATATCTTCCTAATTAAAATCAGATGTTAGACTGATTTAAAAACAAACCACTTCAATGATAGCCTTGGATTTGAAAACGTAGGTAGCGAACTAAATCAGTAGAATTCTTTAGCTGCTGTATGTCTTCAGGATGTAAACGATCATGACCATTCACATCTTCCTGTCCCCTGTAGCACTTTTTTGTCTTTTTATTATTTCTCCCAAACTCTGTTCTGATATACATTTACTCAAGTTCATCAAGTATATTTCACCTGTCCTTCTTTCCCTCTATCTGTTCTGTGAGTATCTGATTTTCCAAGCCATCCTTTTTCATTACGTATCCCAGAAATTAAAGCTGCCTCTTCCTGATTTTAAGTATATGTTTCGTTTCCTTCAAAACCTTGTTAGGCCCATGGTATTCTCGGCATCCTTCTGTAGAACCACAACGTAAGCGAGAAGGAAGGACTGATTATATTGGAATGGGCAAAGATGCATTCCAAAAGCTAAGCAGAGTTTTAAGAGACAGAAAAAATTCGTTATGAACAAAGAAAAGGGTGCTGAACTGTCATGTGATATATGTCCTCCTGTATGGCAGCGAATGCTGGGCAATCTTTTCAGTGATGAAGCAATAAAAATGTGGTTCTACAGGAAGATTCTGAGGATAACTGATGTTAACAACTAAGTTTTGGAGAAAATGAAAACGAAGAGGAAACTTATACTTAACATCAGGAAGAGGCAGTTGAAATTTATAGGGCAGGTAATGAGAAAGAAGGACTTGGAAAATCTGATACTCACATGACAGATTAAGGGAAAGAGGGGCAGAGGAAAACAGCGCGTTATATACTTGATGAGACTGAGTAAATGGATGGTAGAACAGGGTTTGGGAGAAATAACAAAAAGACAAAACTTATTAAGAGCTACAAGGGACAGGAAAAAAAAAAAATATATATATATATACCCAAGTATATAATTGGTGTATATGGAATGGATTCCAATAACCAAGAATTACTATTCTTAAAAGAGTGCTCAATACAAAGTAGAGCAGATGTTGAATGCAAAACAAATGGTTTTAAAAGTCTTTTAAAACCATTTGTTTTGCATTCAACATCATCACTTCATAAGACACCGGGAGTGTTGAAACAAAATGGATATTTTTGTAGTGATTTTATAATATGTTATAATTTTTTTAAATAAATAATTATGTATTCATTAGAGAATCTACGCTCATACAGTTTTTGAAAGTTTTTAAATAATTCTATTTTAAATTATTTTCTTTTGTTGCTTGCAGAATCGAAAAACTCGAATTACCATTTCTTCAGATCGTCATAATGGTGAAGACAAAATCGATGTTTTGGATGTGGGAAAGAACGCTCAGATTGGACTTTTGAGTACTGACTCGAAGGGTATCCCGGTCAAAAGCCCTCGTACACTCACAGTAACCTATGTCGCCGGTGACAACACGGCCGTTGTATACGTGGAACCGCAAATGTGGCTGAACATTGATTTTGGAGAAAAAGCGGCTTTATCGTTTGATGTGGTTCTCTACGAGGTTTGTGGTGTTCTTGATCTTAAGGTTCGAGGTGGGTGTAAGGTTTAATAGTACGAAAAACAGAACTAGGACTGACGTTCATTTTACTTTCATATCTGATGGACCGACAGGAATGTCGTTTGCTGGACATTTTGGACAAAATGTCTCGTTACTGGCATTTCACGATGCTTCGGAAATAATCATGATCTCCAAGACGAATTTGGTCTTTTTCATATAAAATAAGCAAATGTGTGCTATAATTTGTTATGTTTTAAATTACAATTCATGACAGCATGCACGCTGTAAAACGTACTGTTGATTGTCTGTTTGTTTTTTCGTTTTTTTTTTTTAGGCATATCAACCTTTGTGTTATCGAAATCTAAATATTTTATATGCAATTTTATTTATTTTTATTTTTTTAGATAATAATGTTTTAAATGACACCATTCATACTAATTAACCCATAGCTGGAGGAAGAAGTGGATTCATACCTTTCCCAATTTTGCACTATTATCCATTACACCATCTGCACATCCAGTCTTGCAGCAGCTGGTATTCTCAAGCAGTCACCTGTCTTTGCTCGACATTGCTTAACTTAGGTGATTGTACGGGGGCCGGTGTTTGAACGTGATGTGGCAGTAAGCCGTAGTACGTACTGGTGATAAGCATACCTAATATTTGAGACATACTCCATTACATATATAACGATGAGATCAGAAATACTAATAGTTCAATGCTTTTTAATTGTGGACCCTTTTTATCATTTCATCTCAAGCAAGACAATAAAGCCACTAAGATGCAAGGGCTTATTGAAAATGAAAGAAACTTAGAAAACGTTAATGGGGAGAAAGTACAATAAAAAAAACAGGTTTCAAGAAGACACAAAATGACGGTTGCATTTAAATTTTTGACGATCTTAGTTGGCAGGAAACGAACATCAGAGAGTGTACCACAAGCTAGAAGTGCGAGAAAAAACTGTTAGAATAGAACTTTCAGTTACATTTAGATCCTTATTTTACTGTTGATGTTGCTATTTAGCGATAGGTCAAAACTAAGAGAAACGCGACTTTATTCGCGTGAAATCAATATAAACAATCCCCAGGCAACTGGAACTTTACCAATCAGATAACGATGAATTTTACTATAATGCTGCTAAACCTCATGACATGAAGGTGTTGTACACAGGAAAGCTACCTTGGCCCCGCCAGTTCTTAGAGTATTAGCATCTGAACATCCCCCCCCTCTTGCCAGATTAATTTGCTGGTGGTCCTTGCGGTTAACATACTTTTAAGTGGCTGTGGAGTTTACCGCGAGGTCATCACCAGTTTACAGATGGTGGGTCGAACTGGTAGATGACTCTGGTATGGTGGTCATCAGGACGTTGAATGACATGACCTAACCAGCGAACACGGCGATGTAATGTTGTGGAAGATGCTCGACTGGCCTGTCTTCCGGCGGAGCTCCTCACTAGACACAAGCTCGAACAAGTGCACCCGACGGTCCTGCTCGCTTGAAACTCGAAACCATGGACGCGGGAGGCTCGAGTCTTGTTTAGAGGCTCCATTTTGGTGCCGTATAGTAGAAGGAAAGGACAGAGGCGTTGTAAACTCGCAGGTTGGTTTATCATGAGATGTCGCGATATTGGTCTCCAAGGTCTCTCATCTCACCTGCAGTCAGATAACGTCTTCTATTGATCTCCGTGAGGAGGTGGCCGGTGTTGGAAAATTCTGAGCCCAAGTATACGAATAACGTGACGAACTCGACGGGGTTGCTGCCAATGATAATGATCTCTTACGTGCACCAGCCTGGTCTTCGACCAGTTGATGCGCCACCCAAGCCGTGTTGCCTCGTCGATGAATGCCTAGTCTATTCAGCAAAGGTTTAGAATAATAGAAGCTGCGTGTAAATTGATTCCTGGAATGTAATTATTTTCGTTGTAGCATACCTACGGACGATAATGGGTATGCCCTCATTCACATATTTACAATAGTAAATACTGTATGTTGGTCTTCAGTTGGAGATTCGTCTCCAGCTTTGCTTGTCAAACTGTCTCAGGGTAGAAAGGATCCCCAGACGATGCTATGTCGAAGGGCAGAGTCATCTCGGGAAACAGCTACCCGAACCCGTTTTATACGGGGAATTTTTGGTCAGACGAGGATACCCCACATTAAATTCTGCTTTGTGCCGCATCTGACCGCGTTGGGTGGTTAATACATAACCTGCAGTTCGAGAATAATTGTGGAATTCACTTGACTCACTCCTAGCATTTGACTATTTCTACGCACCGTTGTCGAATCTTATATGTGTTGTTCTTGTCCTAAGTATTATCGTTCATTACCAGCCTTCGTTTAATTATTCTATTCAGTAACATTCACTAGCTTGCAACAATTGTTAACCAGTAAGTCATTAACATGTATTTATATTATACAAACAGTTCTATTTTGTACAGTAATCCTTCATTTAATTCCTGTTTTATGACTATGCCTCTGCTTAATATTTCAAATGTACCTGCATGGTACACTCATTATAAATCTGTGTATCTATCAATATATATTATACATAAAATTCTGTGACTACCGGCCGGTCGTTACACCCTCTAAAATAGCCATACATTGAAGTTCAAACCGGTAAGGGGGTAAAAAGTACAGTTTGGTTTGTTTTACGGCGTATAAAAAAACAATGGAGTCTGTCTATATTTCTGAGATGAGGTATTATGTACAGTATTTACATTAGTCGGACTATTGTCCTCATCTTTGTCGCCATATTTGTCACAACGTTTCGGCCGTTGTACGCTCCGGCCTTCTTCAACCAAGCATAGAAATAAATACAATATGGGAACCAGTAATAAGGAGTGCCAGAGAAAAGCAATGATAACAAAGTTGCAATATGAGCACTGGTAAAAATGATGCTGAAAACATTAGGTTTATAATACTCAGAAGTTCATACCCAGATGTCCTCAAGGACACATGGCACAGTGGATAAAGGCGTTGGTTAGATCCAGTGACAGACCCAAAGAAGGTGAGTTCAATACCTGGTTAAGGCAGTGGAGAACTTTCAGATGGAAAATTAGCAGGAGATAACTGATAACTGACATCCATCAAACATGGCACGTGAAACTAGAACAGTCTACCCCAGTGATCGAAATAAAGGGTTCAGTTCGAAATTCCAACCACCTGAAGAACGGCCGAAACGTTGTGACAAATATGGCGACAAAGATGAGGACAATAGTCCGACTAATGTAAATACTGTAAAAAAACAATGGGTTATTTTAGGGTTACCTATTTTTCCCATAGCTGGAACCCTGACAGGTGCTACCACCCTGGGTCAGTGGGGGGAACCTTGGAACAACAGCAATTAAGAGGTAGTTCCACGCCCCTCAAAACCTCATGATCAGAGGCCTTGATGTTGGACGTAGCTTATTGTCTTACCCAGGTCGTGGATGTAGTTTATCGTCATACACAGGACGGACAATTGGTTTTACGAGGGTGCGTAGCTTAGTACAATAAATTTTCATTAATTTTGTTGGAAAAATTAAACGTTTTATTATTTATAGTGCAAATTTTTTACCACTATCTTAAAAACAATTTAATGAGTAAAATAAAAAAAATACTTTTTTTAATAAAAATGCGATTTTTTTTTTTTTTTGCGTATATTTAAGTTTTCGAATAGACTGAATGCAGTTTTCACTTCGCCCTGCGTTTGCGAGGACTATAAACAAATCAAAAGCCAAACGCTTCAAAAAGTTGATATTTGGCGCCAGAAATATATTTTTACGCATGGCCAGTTATATGTTACATGCTAAAGAGTTTAGAAATCCTAGGGATGTATTCTTTGCTGTTAAAAGGAAAAAAGAATTTTTTTTTTAAATTGTTTACCGTGAAATCCTATAAAATTAAATTAAAGAAATTATTAAACCGCGAAGTAGGGTTTTTGTCTAAGTTTTTTTGCAGCCAAATCAGCTTATTCAAATTTAAAATCGATTGGATTATGAAATTCAACGAAGCGTAAAGCGCGAAAAAATGTTAGCAATAACTTCAACAATACTAAATACTGTGAGGATTTTAACACACTAACGTGTTACCAAAAAATTCTAGTGAATTAATATTTAAAAATATTTTCTGCATAATGCTTTATTTCATTCCTGATCTCTGGCAATGCTTTTGATTAAGATTTCCAATGTTTCTCTTTGGTACAATCATTAACAATGGACCTATATTATGAATATAATCTCTCTATTTTGTCACTCATACTTGCATTAATTCCTGACCACTGACAATCCATTACTTCCATTCCATTCTATAACATTATCGTTGTAACGTCTAATAAGATTACGGGACCGAATCTTTCATTCGCTTTTGGACTACGTCAGTTAATGTCGGCTTGAGGGTGTGTTTAGTTTTGGGGATGTTGATCTTCTTGCCGCCCAGTTGCCCAGCATGGGCAGATTCTGAGCTCATTTGATACTGACCTGGTTTGAGGTTCAATTCTTTCACCTGCTGATTATGAGGCTAACTTCAAATGCAATTGTCGTACGCTTGACTTCTCTAATGCTTTCGTGTAAAGCCAATTTTCGTTTCTCTTAGAGTGAATTCTGTATATATTAAGGTCACGAAAAATCAGTACCTTTTTGAGTAAAGATCCCTTATTGATATTAAATTCGATTCAGGATTCTGGTATTTCCGCGTTGGGAAATGGAATATTAAAAATGCATTTTGATTTAAATTTCTTTACCCATTTATTTCTATAAACCTTCTGTTAAACACTAAAATATGATTGTTGAAAAATGATCAGTTCTCTGTACGGTTCCTGTAAGTACCTGGCTCCTCCTGCTATGCTCTAGCTTTTCAAGAGCCAGATTAGAAAAAAAAAATGAATACTGTTGCTATATCTAGAGCTACACAGTCCTAACGATCCAGAATTGTATGAGCGGCCTTGTGGATGATGAATTATTTATCTGTATTAACAGCATTGAAAAATAAATAAAAGCTAACAGCCTTTAATCATCCGGGTTCTGGATAGAATTCAACTGTTCAAAAACAAAAGAAATAATCTTTTGTTGGCTACCGAGCCATCTTGGTATACGTGGAAATGACAAGGCAGAAGCAAAGAGAGCAATGAAAGAGAATAACAGATACGAAAATACCACATACTGATTATAAGACTGTTGTCAATAAAGAGATTACAAATAAATGGCAAACCGAATGGAAAATCTTTAAAAGTCACAAACTTCTGAACATTAAACCCACCAATGGAGAATGGAACACAAAATGCAATAACAATAGAGAAAAGCAGGTAGTGCTGACCTGCCTTCACATAGGACACACCTACATTACCCATCACCATTTACTAGAAGATGCATAAGCCCCAACATGCACTGCATGTCAGGACGGATTTACGGCAAAACATATATTTGTCCTAACTCGAGCAACATTACAATGAGAACAATTTAAAAGACCTTTTCAGCAAATCAAAACCATCCAAGATATTACATTTTCTAAGAGAAGTGGCATTGTACTAAAAAAATATGAGTAACTAAACAATGATATTCCAACTATATGCAGCTACAACATTTAGTCTTGTCCCAAACTTATTCTACAAGGAATGATTATTTTATCTCGACTATATTATTCTACAATTATTTTGGTATTAAATGACCCATTGATCTTGAGATATGGCATAAAACAAAACAAAACAAATACACACTATACCATGTACATAGGAACGAATCCTACCCATTCTCTTTTTTTATCCCATTGATAAGAGGGAAGTTCCATTACATCGTGGAGCAGATTCAAGAGAACATGCTTACCTGATCACTATAATCTAAACATCTTCGTCTAAGATTAGCCGTTAGCTGTGCTAGATATCTGCATAAGCTGCACTTTCGACCTCCACATCTTATGTGAATAAATCTTAATCAGTAATCTTCTACCTTGAGTGGATTATCGGCTTCTGTATTGCGTGAATAATTATCAAATTTAATCTAAAATTATAAATGGATAAAACGTGATTGTATATATATATATATATATATATATATATATATATATATATATATATATATATATATATATATATATGGTTGGATAGATGTGAGTTTGTGACCCTGAGTTTCACGCTTTTTTGTCTGACGATCGCTAAAGCGTGAAACTTTATATCTGTAAATATTCGTGAGAGTGGGGAGGTGAAATAAATATTCAACTCAATAATTTCTTTCTCGTCTTTTCAGAACGCTTCCATGAATTTACCCTATGAAACCTTTCTCAAAGACAGTCATGTGACGCTACACGGTGGCCTAATAAGAGGTCTCAATTCGCTGATTCTCTCTCTGAACGGAAGATTTGATGTCTACCCGCCAACACTGCTTAATTCTTCGAGTCCGAGTAATTTCTACCTAAAAAGCATTACCGTTAATGACGGGGGCCATTTCACATACCAGGGAACGACTAATGACTCTTTGTCAATCATTCTGGAGGAAAATTTCACTATCCACGGTGGAGGTATGGTGACTGCCAACAACATTAATGTTACAGGTAAATGTAAAAAAAAAAAAAAAAAAAAATTAATTTTTTGGTGTAACTCCTTCGCAAAAAAAAAACAAACTAGAAATAAAAAAAAATTAAAATTTTAAAGAAATTGATTATTTACGCTATTTACATGTGGACTATTTTCCTCATCTTTGTTGTTGTTACAAAATTTAGGCCGTTGCATCCTCCGGCTCTCATGACGTATGTCGATCCGAGTAAGCTACAGGGATTTCCGAACGGAACCCTTTATTTAATCTCATGGGGTAGACTTATCATTCCACGGCCCATGTCTATGGGGAGATAACTCGTCTAGTTCTTATCTTTTAATACTGCTCCATTATTGCTCGCCCCGTTTCCACTGAGTCCTGTGGTTCAATAGCCTAGTAAATTAAAAAGTTGGTTTGTGAATTTAGTTTCATACTAATTGTGAGTTCAATCCCGGTGTCGGGTAGTATGTACTTAGATTAATGGAAACTTAATGGTGAACTATAAACGAACAGTACTAACGAATAAGAACTAGATCAGATATTCCTAGAGATGGACACTGAGTACCAGAAAAGGAATGGGAATTGGTAGAAATACAGAAAAGGGGTTACCAGTTTCTAGGATTACACATAGCGTGGTCTAATTACTATAGATTAAGGCTTGTAATAGAGATAGTAATAGGTACATATCTGCCAGATTAGCGACTACATGTATTGGTGTGCAAGCAGTGAAGTCATAGCTAGCCATCAATTCAAAAATTAATATTGAAAGTTGATTTGATCTCGATGGCTTAGGATTGACACTGAACCAGACTAGACTAAGCTTACTAAGTATATGCAACCTTTTTAACTGTGTTACAAGCGTTAGCAAGAAGGTATAACAGTTTCGTTCGTTGTCTACGGCTTATCCACATTTTGAGGACTATTTAAACTAGAAAATATTTATAGATAGGATAAATCTAAAAGTTCAAATTCTGACTTTCGAGTCATATAAGCTATATATGAAAAACAGGCGCAAGACAATCTTCCTGAGATTATTATACACAGATTTATTTTAAAAGAAAGGAAATAAAATCAGATAGAGTGGGATGAACAGAATCCGTAAAACAACAACAAATTAATAATTAAGTAATACGAATTATCTTCCATTGGTACGGACAGGGCGATTGTGTCGGAAAGAAATGTTCAGTTCGAAATTCTCGAAACTTAGTAAATTATAAGCATCTGAACAAGGCCAATTGATTACTTGATTCGTTTTCTACGGTTTATCAACCCTTTGAAGGTTAATAAAATCCAAACATATTTTTATATTGTAAGAATTTTTTTTTTTAGATAACGATTTAGCGACACAGGTCTTACTAATTAACCCATAGATGAGGGAGAAGAGATGGATTCATACCTTTCCCAATGATATTTGCGCGTAAGTGAATATAACGAACCCAACTGGAATTGGGACTCTGCTGTGCGCTAAAAAATTTCGTGCCATTATCCATTAAAAGCACCCGCACATTCAAACCTGCAACAACTGGTATTACGAAGCAGTCACCCATCAAGGCTCGAAGTTGCTTAACTTCGATGATCATATGGGAACCGGTGTTTCACCTTGATGAGGCCGTAAGCCTAGCATCACAGAAAATTAATCTTTATAATCAGTTTTATTCTCACTGAGAATCGTATACCATTAACAGCAGGTTAAACTTAATATGTAGGTATTAAGACGCACCTCCGGAAAATACCAGAAAGGCGTCCCGAGCACTATTACTGTTGTAAAGGGTTCAATACTCATTGGGGATCCTATACATTTGGATGTAATAGACTAATGAATTTAGTCCTGAAAATTATAATAAAAAAAATATTCGAAGATATTTCTCCGACACCGGAGATTACATTGCGTTGGCCAAAATGCTTGTTCGTTTAAGTAGAAAATTAATAAATCCGAACGAACTTTTTGGCCTACCCGATATTTCAAACTGCAATGTTGCATGTCAGAAAAAGTTTATATATTTGTAATTGTGAATTTATAGCTTACATTGTCATTTTAGACATCCATACATCGACTGCCTCAAGCGACATTCATAATTTTAAACGCGATTTCATTATATATGGGTAAGGAAAAGTCAGAGTACAGATGTCATGAAAAGCAAGTAAAAACGAAGATAAAATAAGATGTAAATACTAGTCAAAATCAATTTCCCCAATTCTTGTACCTAAACATTAAAGTAGATAAAAGTCACGTGCGTGAGTTAACTGGGAGCTTGTTCTCTAGTCGTGGCACTATCTATCTACCTTCGGTACCACGTAAACCTACCACAATTTATCACTTGTTTCGTCGAGAAAATATAGACACTACCAGGTTCTCAATAAATTGAGGAATAAAGGAACCGTAATTTCAATGCTATTTCTAATAATGATTATATTTTCTACACTTAGTTTAGAGAGATTTAAAACAAATTGATAGGAAGATTGCATTCGAAGTTCCCCGGATCAAAACCATCTACAGGAAAGAGACTTTTTCAGCCGCAAGAAAAGTAAATTTATTTATTACAATTAGCTTAGTCTGGCACAGGACTGGAAAAAATGGGCACTCTAGCAAGCAATTTGCTTGCCTGGCGAATTTATTTAATATCGCACCAAGGCCAGTTACCGATTAACTTGCGTGATTCCATTTAAGTATGAGTTTGATGTCGTTATTGTATGAAAAAGGTTAACTCTATGTGATAAAACCGTGTATAGGTCTTCTTCTTATTCTTCTTCTTATTATTATTATATTGTTTTTCTTCTGTTTAAGCTAAAAACATCAGGATTGATACCAATGGCCTCATCGATGCCAGCGGAAAGGGATTCCGTCCCGGAACTGGAAAACGACAGGCTGTGTGGGATGGTCGCTCAAGTTCGGGTGCTTCCCATGGTGGCCTCGGAGGACGTGGTTCACATGGAAACCACGCACCCATTGCCTATGACAGTGTCTTGAATCCCATCAGATATGGTGGCGCTGGAAGTTTCTCAAGCTCGAAAACAATTGGAGGTGAGGGCGGAGGTATCGTTACACTGAAAGCACAGAATGTGATGGAGATCGATGGTTTGATCTCTGTCGATGGAACTGATGCTCAGACCGTGGGATTGGGTGGCGGCGCAGGCGGAAGTATACAACTTGTTGCTAACAACTTTAAAGGTAAAACTGATTTAATTTTATTTCTGAATTTCTGAATTCCATTAATCAATTTTTCTGAATAATTTCCTGCCTTGGGTTATATTGAAGATCATTTTAGTTCCAAATAGTATTTCAATATCTTCTCTTTTCATTTGAACAGTATTAACACAAGACATTATCGCACAGTCCTGTGATTCTATGATGTTTTAGGTCAATTGAGAAAAAGAAATGAAACTAAGAAATTCAAAAACACTTTATGCAATATACATCTCAAGAAAGTCCAATAATATATCCAGGTCATAACAACAAAGATATAAAACAAATTAATCGTTTGAAAACTATAATAATAAAGACACAAGTGTAAGTCACCCAGTTATCATCAAATTACACTAACAACCGAATGATTAAAGTGATGGCTAATCACTATTTCGCAAGAGAACGTTGTTTCATATATATATATATACACACACATATATATATTATTAGTGATTAATATATACACACACACACACACACACACATATAGATAGATAATTAGTGATTAATACACAAACACACACACACATATATATATATGGGGCACCCAGTGAGGATCGAACTCACAACTCAGTCGTAATTGTTTTAGCGAGACAAACTTGCTAACCATTACACCGCCTCGAGGTGCATATATATATATATATATATACACACACACACACACACACACACACACACACACACACACACACATATATATATATATATATATATATATATATAATATTCCATGTTTATATATTTATTACATTGGAATCGTAATTACGATTCCAATGTAATAAATTAATAACCATGGAATATTAGTGTTTGAATCGTAATTACGTTTTATTTTATAAATATATATATATATATATATATATATATATATATATATATATATATATAAAAATGAGAGCCCTATTTTAAATAACTTATATGGATGTTCAGGTGATTAATTAGTATTATAAACATATGGATGCTCTTTACTTAATGGTTGCATTATAATTTGCCAAAGTAGTTTTTGTTTCATTTATGATCTTTTTTTTTCAAACGGTTTGTTATTTACCAAAAGGGGCCTTTTATATCAACTACAAAATTTTATGTGGGTAGGTGGTGGAGCATATAACTAGTTAGCATTATATTAAATTAACTTCCTTCCTTTTTTCTTCTTATGAAAGTTGAACGCCAGACTTCTATATATCTTAGGAAATAATGTACCCATTTGTATCTGTCCATAATGAAATTGTCTAGGATTTATATTCAGACAACTTCGTGCCATAACCTATATAACATTTTTTTTCGGTGACTTTGAATTTATCGTAGGTCACATTCCATTGGTTAATCAGGGTAAAGCCAATTTTTAATTTTGCGTTTTGTTTTGTTTTTTGTTTTTATTTTTCTTAAGAAAAAATATTCTGTTTTTGAAATTGAAATAATCGTTCACTCGCCAGTAATTTACTATCGCCCGAGGAGACACATTTGTAGTGTTGAAACATAATTGCCATTGTGTAGCGATTTTTAACATGTTTTTTTTAAATAAACTTATATATATAACTGTATATTGAAGTCAACAATTGTCACTTTTATTTGCAGTAGTTATTTCCTAATACTGCCGATCTCAAAGCTAAATTTACGATTATTACTTTTGATTAAAAGCATTGTTTCGTGGAAATACAATCTCTTCTTTTATATAGTCTGACTCAGGTCTTATAGTGAGAGATATATCACAGTAATAATTATAAGAATTTATTGCAAAATTTCTTCATTTTTTCTATTTTGAATTAAAAATTTGTATTTTTTAGCCCTTTATTTTTGTTTATTTTCAGTAAAAAAAATTCCTCCATACATACGGGCAATATCCCCAATGAAAATGTCATTGCCGTATATTTTCTGTATTATTACCATCTTGTTGTTCCATGCAAATGCTCTGTGAAATTACTGAGTTATTTATTAATTTTACTTTGCTTTTATAATTGTTTTGTCAGAAGTCTGGGATTGAATATGACGTGTGACAATAGATTTTTCATCTCTTGTTACTCAATCAAATATTATAAAGCCATCATCTTGAATGTTCTTTATATGCGAATCTCGTTTTATTTCAATTGATTCTCAAAGATGACATTTACAAATATCAAAGTTGACAGGAAGCTGTGTGTTACTCTTGTACAATGTCAACATCACATTCCAGAGGCTGACAAATTCATCTTTGAAATAATGATATGAACTTTCATTAACACCTTTTTCTGTTTTATTTATTTACTTATTTTACTAACGAGGGGGGATACTGAAAATTCTATAGACAGATGAAGAAGCGATTGAAAAAAAATCTTCTGATGTTAAGCCATTTGTTCAGGTTTAGGGTAGAAGAACCAAGAACTTTTTAACTTCCGGTACAAACAAAATGGCAGTCAACTAATATTTTATTAGTTATTAGTTATATCTTTTCATATTTAATGTTGTAGTATTATGGAGTTGATTTAAGTGCAAGCACTGATCTGGGCAAATATTAGTCTACCAGATTATCTCAACATTATAAAGACCCGGTAAATATTTTTTGAAGGGAAATGTCAGGTACTATATGTTAGACTAGCAGCATGGCCCAGCGTTGCCCGGGCTTGATTCAAAAATCGTACGACTCATACAGCAATCGCTATCACTTGACTTAAAATATTTTTGCCCTTCCTTGCCTTTAAACGAGTGCTCTTTGCCGTGTTGATGTTGCTATATGCCTTACTTCTTATTCTCACACTGCGAATTTTTTCTAAACTCTATACTAAACATTAAATCTGTTACGAAAAAAGAACTAAACAAAATGAACACAAAACGATCAGCTTTTAAAAAAAGGTCTCGTAACGGGAAAAACCGAATGAAAAAAGAATGTTAACAACAATACTTTTTCACACCCAACCCAGTTCTGCGGAATCAGAATCAACGTTGAGTTTAAGCAAGCGAATGAGCCAATTGGAGTAAAGTGCCATGCAGATTTAAATTTTTCCCACTTGTGACGAATGCAGCTATACATTTTTTTTTTGCATGTTAGCATGCTAGTGAACATTTGTGTCAGTCAACTGTTGGCTCTCACGCTGGCCAATAGAATATTCCTGCCTTTTCGTGGCAGCCAGCTATAGGCTCTCACTAGCATGAAAAACTTCCGTAGAAGAATGAAAAAATCGATTATTTCCATTATCGATGAGAGTTGAAAAATGCAAAGTCGGCCTTGACCTTTCCGCTAACTTGGAGCATGTGCATGTAAATTTTGGTGCAAATCCGTCGAAAATTGCGGCCGTGCGTTCGTTACACACACACACACACACACACACACACACACACATCCTGCCTGCTATAGATAGAGATACTTTGATATAATCGTGTAAGAGGAAATAATGAAGATCTCTCATCAAATTCACAGCACACAAATTTTACCTCGTTTAAGCATCGTATTAGAATTTAGAGCAATCCAACTTATAGTTAAATTCGCTTCTGTTAGATATTCCTTAAGATTAGTTCTTGAAATTGGAGTTAAATGGTATATAGGAATGTTGTGTTGCGATAATCTCCTAAGTCATGCGTGAAAAAATCCACATTCGAAGTTTTGATTCTTACCCGAATACAAACTCAGACAATTAGCATCGGAACTACATGAGTAACGAAACCATCGAGACTAACAGTTTTCTTTCTAAACGTTTTAATAATCTAAACAGAAAAAATATTCGCATAATTTCGCTCAGCACAAAATTATATTGCACCAATTTTCAAAATAGAAAATTAACTCACTGACAGTTTCAAACTGCTCGCGAATTATACAACTACCTCAACTACCAAGTAATTTATCTTACTTATATACATATATGACCACCAACACAATCTGGTGCTAAAAAGTTCTCGATCCGACCAAAGAAGCCCTTCCCAAAAATTCTAATATTTAATCATTGGTTAAGTTTCGGGAAGTGAGCCAGGCCGAGAATTTTCTGTACATTCTGATGTAACCTGGATATAAGAGACCCGGATATAAGAGAAACCCGGATATAAGAGAGATTTTCTCTGGTCCCAAATTAGAGCCTGTGTTAATGTATATAAAATAGATCAAACCTGGATATAAGAGACTTCTTCTCCGGTCCCGACAACTCTCTTATATCCGGGTATACACTGATATATCATAGTCATCATTAGCCACAGGGATTCCACTGTGACCATGTTATTCTGTCTCACATCTTACCAGAGAACGGTTCCATTTCAGTTCTGCATGTTTTATTAAGTCTTCTCCTCCTACGATTGATACACATTGGGCAGCAATCGAGAAAAGGTTCACTACATTTATTATAATTTCTTCTTGATATGGTTCCTGTTCGCTCCCATATTTGTGGTATTAACACTTCTATGACATCACACATCGAGGTTTATTCCCTGACCTATGTTTCTATGTTGTTCCTAGCATTACCTTCTATCTATCGATCTGTCTGCTACCGATTGACTCTAGATCTGTCTGCCGCCTGGCCACTGTGCCTCTGGAGCTGTCTTCCGGCCGGCCACTGTGCCTCTGGAGCTGTCTTCCGGCCGGCCACTGTAACTGTCTTCCGGCCGGCCACTGTGGGCCGGCCACTGTGCCTCTGGATTCTTCCGGCCGGCCACTGTGCCTCTGGATCGGTCTTCCGGCCGGCCACTGTGCCTCTGGATCGGTCTTCCGGCCGGCCACTGTGCCTCTGGAGCAGTCTTCCGGCCGGCCACTATGACTGGAACTGTCTGATGACATTATTCTTTCTAATCATTTTTTCCGAAATGTTACCACTTATAAAACATCGAAATATCAACAAAAAATTCCACATTTGTTATTCAAATGCGGAATAAACAGCAAACACATTTGTTCGAACTTAGATTTATATCTTGTGTAATCATGAAATGTCATATCTTGTGTTATTTTCTTCCTCTTCCAGGCCGAGGTGAACTCTCAGCAGTTGGTGGAAGTGGTTCCTGTGTTCCGAATTGTGCCAGATGTAACAGGGAACGCAAATGTGTTCAGTGCAAGAAGAAATATTGGTGGATTAATTACTTGTGCTTACCACGACCTAATCATAATACAGATTACGTAAGCAATATATCTTCTCTCTCTTTTTTTTTTAGATTTAAATATTCATGTCCAGAATATTAACTGTCAAGAATTTACATTCTTTTATTAGCCAGATTTTTTTTTTTTTTTTTTTTAAGCGTTTCACCCCAAGCAAAGCAGGAAGCCACTAGCACGCAAGGGGTTACAGAGAGTTCGAGCGAGAGAAAATAGGAGTGATAGAGGAAAGGATGAAGAGAAGGATAGGGAATAGATCAAGGCATCTGGAGGCGTCGATTGACATTACATTTGAATAGTTGGAGATTATAGCTATCAGGGAAACAGAAAAAGGGGAGGTAATTCCACAGGTGAGAAGTGCGAGACACGGAGCTATTGGAGTAGAAGCGACAGCTACATTTAAGTTTCGAGAGTGAAAGGGTGAGAGTGAGATGCCAGCCTAGTTGAACGCTTAAATTCCTGAAGTTTGGGAACCAGCGAAAACAGTTCATCGGAGCAGTAACCATGAAAGTATTTGTAAAAGAGACACAGGGAGGCGACGGCACGTCTGTGAGAGAGCGACTGCAGACGAGATGACAGATCAGGGCCAATTACATTGCATATCCGTCTTTGGATTTTATCAAGGACCTTGAGACAATTAGAAGGGGTCCCAGACCATATATGGCAACAATACGCCATGCAAGGGCGAATGGTTGATTTGAAGTATCGACCCCGGCGAGAAAAATTTCCTGGCGCGGCACAGGGAGCCAACTTTGAACAAAGATCGGTATTTTAAGCTTGAAAATATACAAGGCTGATCATAATTATGCTTCGCCGTAGGGCAATAAGTAACTGATTAAGTAACTGATTTCCCATTACTATTGAGTAGTAAGTCTGTTCCTCTCTAGGTGCTCAGTTGTGTGTGGCCATGTGCTAAAACTAATTTCATTAAAGTTCCTGGGCTATTTTTAATTCTGCCACACATTCTAAGCAGTATGTTAACTTTTGGTTTGCTTTTTAATACAACTCCTTAAAATTTCCAGAATTGCTAAATGATCTCTTTTTATTGGACATTTTAAATATAAGGTTGGATCATAAATAATTTCCGTTTATCTACTTTATTCTCCAAAAAAATAAAGTACAATTAGGTTTAATTCAGTTACAATTTCACCTTTATATGCAGTGCCTTTCTGCAACTTATAAGGTAGTCTTTCGATATTTTCAGAGTAAATTCCACAGGTTTTGATGGGAACAAGTTTCCGATGAGCTCTTGAATCTGGTTTTTATAAGAGAAAATGTTCTTTATCAAAAGGTCTTGAAACGATCGAAAAAAGTAATAAACGTTTGCTGCAAGGTTAGTTCAATATAGCCGGTTGGGTAGAAGAGACTAACCTAGTTCCAAATTGCTTCTTATTTTTTGTTATTCTTTCTGTTTTGGGTCTTGCATTGTCATAGAGTAGAACAATATTTTTTTTCTTAAATCTCTTATGACTGCTACTATTTCTGTACTAAATCTATATTAATGTTCACCAAATTTCTTAACTACCACATATGATTATAAGTTAGGATATATTGGACATTAAAACTAGTTCCCAAAAACAAAACTTTCTTATGATTCTACCTCATAGAATCTTCAGTCCATGGTATTCTCAGCATCTTTCTATAGAACAACATTTCTGTTGCATCAAGTCTCTTCTTCATATGTGTGAAGATTGTCCTGCATTCACTACCATATAGGAGGACTGGTTTGCAGTATTACTAGGTACTAATTAATCTGAAAAAAAATTTCAGTCTTCAGCTATTTTGTAACATAGTAACACTCCCTTTCCTGTCAGATCGAAAATGGAGTGTTGCTGCTATACCTAACATGGGCCTGCCCAATCTTATAGTCTCAGCGTTCAAAAACTTCTACATGAGTTTGTAGGCGATATATTATTTGCTTACCCTGCAACCGCTCCTCATAATAATATCTTCAATTTTGGGTTGTTTTTTTTTTATCCATCTTTTAATTTTGATGCGTAGATTAAATCAATTTATTCTTTCAACCATTTTATAGTTATAGGAGATAGAATAGAAAGAGTGATCGTTTAGATCTCATGCTAATTCCCATATATATGCGTTTCCTTTATGGTCACGTGATCTACTTATTCAAAATGGGATCGCCTGGGTTTTTCTCTGGCGACGTATGTTCAAACTACATTGTCAGCAGTAAAATTTTATACCTTTTAAGCGTTTCACCCCAAGCAAGGCGAGAAGCCACTAGGACGCAAGGGGTTACAGAAGATTTGGAGCAAGATCAGATAGGAGTGACAGAGGAAAGGATGAGGAGAAGGGCAGTGGATAGATCAAGGCAACTGGAGATGTCGATTGACATTACATTTGAATAGCTGGAGATTATAGCTCTCAGGGAAACTGGAATACGGAAGGGATTTCCACAAGTGAGAGGTGCGAGACATGAAGCTATTGGAGTAGAAGAGACGGATACATTTAGGAGTTTCGACAGTGAAGAGGTGAGAGCGGGATGCCAGCCTCCTCGGGCGCTTGAACTCATGAAATCTGGGAACCAGCGAATGCAGCTCCTCGGAGCAATTGCCATGAAAGTATTTGATACGATATTTGCCTTTTCGTTCGGACTAATATCCTCATCTTTGTTATTATGCTCGCAACGTTTCAGCTGTTGAGCCGTGTTTCCTTCTTCAGGTATATGTCGAACTTGGTAACGTTTTACACTATATTCAGTCCACAAGAGTAGATTGTTATCATTCCACTTTTCAATACTTAGCGGAGATTTCCCGTGGCAGTTATTCTCTGTTGCATGTCCATCTTATACACTGAACCAGAGTATATGCACTTTCCCCACTGCGCAGTTCTAGGATTACACATATAGCCAGCAATTGGGTTTGGTTCGTTAATCTAAAAAGAAATGTATTTAATGATATGTCTGTTTATATTTTATCATATCGAGTTCCGTTGATGTATTCTTCGGCCTTCAAGTTAGCCTCATCGGAGGCGTAGTAGAAAGTACTTTCAGTACGTTGATTGCTACATGATACATCCGAGTCTGGCGTATTGTATATTGCCTCTACGCATATAGACGTCAATTCCATATGAAGACAAGATACATAAATATCAAATGACAATATAAAGAAATGACAATCTTGATTCAATTAATAAGGCATGCATCTGGCTCTCACTTCTTCCTATCACCACATTTATTGTCTTGTTAAAGGTATGCCACGTTGTTTAACTACATTATTTTTTCAAGTATCCTTACCATTATGCCTCTTCATTCTAAGAATTATTTTGATGGATATTTATAAAATTCAGCTGAATTCAGGCTTAGGGTGGCATTTAGAAAGAGAATGACTTTTAAGCGCTGATTTGAGTTATCATCATCTTGATTGTATTGGTTATTGTACCACTCAGCCGTCTTCAGGATTACGGTCTCATCACATTAATACAAGTAAAATCATCGAAGTTAAGCAACGTCGATCGTGGTCAGTACCGAGATGGATGGCCGTTTACGAATACCAGGTGTTATAAGCTTGAATATGCGAGTGGTGTAATGAATAATTGCACGGAATTGTTTATCTGAGAGTCTAGCTACAACTGGGTTCGTTATATTCACTTACGCGCAAATATCATTGCGAAAGTTATGAATCCACCTCTTTTCCGCTCAGCTATGGATTAATTAGTAAGACTTGTATCAGTAAATCATTATCTCACCCCCAAAATTCTTACAATCTAAAAATATTTTCTGGCTTTAAATAACCCTTCAAAGGGTTGATAAACCGTAGGCAATCAATTTTCCTTCTTCATATTATCACTTAGTAAGTTTTGAGAATTTCGAACTGAACTCTTCATCAAAACACAGTAGCCCTATCCATATCAAGGGGAGATAATTCGTATTATTTAATAATTAGTTAATTGTTGTTTTGCGGCTTCTGTTCATTCCATTCTAGCTAATTGCATGTAAGTACCCTATTTTTGAATAAATCAGTCTATAATAATTTCAGGAAAATTGTCTTCCGCTTGCCTTTTATATATAGCTTATCTTAACTGAAAGTCAGAATTCGAAGTCTTAGGTTTATTGAAGCTGTTCTAACTTTGGATAAATCTAATAGTCCAAACTCCGAATTTCAGGTCAGTAACCACTAGCGTCGCTACTACCCCAGCCACTAGATAGTCCCTCATAAATATCTACTTTTTTTTTTTTCAGGCCCGCGTTGCCGGCGGTGGTGGAGGCGGAGGTAGAATAGCCATTCATGCTTTGTCTCGGTACGACTTCCATGGTTCCTACAAGGCTCTTGGAGGAAGCAGTTTCATCGAAAGGGGAGGACCCGGAACCGTTTATTACAGAGCAGGCAACACAACCTCCTTGCTGATAGACAACGGTGGATACAAGCCTCAAGAGACTTACATCAGAAACCCGACTGAAGACACTTCTCGCGCTTACATTGTAACAGATGACCTCCACTTATCTGAACTCAACATTGATTCGCTTGAAATTAAGAATGGTGGACATCTTGCATTCGCAGATGGGAAACATCAAACGGTTCCTGTCAATATTGGCAAACTCGTCGGTGATTACAGTGGCATGATCCATACTTCTGTTAACCATCCTCTTCATATAAAAGACAGCCAGAGTCCATTTCCAGCATCATTTGGCGCATACGAGCGAACAAGTATAACATTACCAAAAGGTAAGTCAAACTCGTAGATATCACATAAAACAAAACAAAAAAAAAAAATATGTGTATATCTCCAATCATTTTAATAGGTTTGAGCTTAAATTGTACAATTTTATCCACACCTTTTCAAAAAAGAAACTATGATTTGAAATTGGAATGAAAGTAGTGATGGCACTTTTTTTTTCTTTTTTTTTTACTTTTTTTTTTTTTCGTTTTTTTTTAAGCATTACACCCCGAGCAAGGCGTGAAGCCACTAGGATGCAGGGGGTTGCAGAAGATTTGGAGCAAGAGTAGATAGGAGTAATAGAAGAAAGGATTAGGAGAAGGATAGTGGGTAGATCAAGGTAACTGGAGATGTCGATTCACATTACATTTGAATAGTTGGAGATTATAGCTCTCAGGGAAACTGGAATAAGGAAGGGTGTTCCACAGGCGAGAGGGGCGAGGTATGAAGCTATTGGAGTAGAAGACACGGCTACATTTAAAAGTTTCTACAGTGAAAGGGTGAGAGTGGGATGCCAGCCTCGTAGGGCGCTTGAATTCATGAAGTCTGGGAACCAGTGAAAGCAGCTCAACGCAGCAATTACCTATCCTGAATTTATCATAAAATTACAGGATGTGGAATTAGCAAATATCAAACACTTCAGGTACCTCGGTGTGTGGATCAGTCATAATAAATTAAGCATACTGGGAGGGGGTGAGAAATTGAACAGAGATAGTTTCTCCCAAAACCGCAACTTGTTACGAAACCAAAATATCAACCTGAAAACTTGACTCATATTCTTATCTGGCCTCATTAGATCGACACATTAATATGGTAACTGTCAGCTGTAAAAATGCCACCGTCTTCCCAACTGAGCAATGGAGAGAGGAAAAAGATCATTCAGGCCTTTAGTAATGGGACCAACATTCATATTCTGGCTTCCAT